GGTATTCGGCTGTTTTACAAAATGTGTATTTTCAGAAGCATCGGAACCTTTTCTGGCTCTTGTACCAGCCCAGGCGTTTGTTGTTGTGCTCTGCACATCTGGATGGCCCTGGAAATCTCCATTTGGGGTAATGCTGTTGTGCTCAGTAGTTTCTCTTAAATGAGCTGTAGTATACAATGAAAAAAGTTTAGTGAATAACAAGCTACAAATGATCAAATGATGTGCTGATTCTAATAGCATCTTTAAATAAAAAAAAAAACCCGGAAAACAACAGGGTACAGTATTCAGAATTTTTGTTAAATGAGTCTATTACTCTATAGCCTCTACTGTAAATTATATGAGGTTAGGTTAATTTATTCTACTAGTCATATGCATATGCAATTATTTTAGTATATATGTATTTTGTAACACTTATAATCTTAAACATACATAGTAAAATTTGAAAAGATTATGAAAAATAATGGCCCCTAAGATGGCTCAGTATGACAAGCGCTTCCCTGGCAAGTGCAAGGGCCTGTGTTCAATCCCCAGTTCCGCAAAAAAAAAAAAAAAAAAAGATTAGAAAAAATATGTTTCTAATTTTTCTAATACTTTAAAATATGACAAAAAATAACTTCAAAAGGACATTGTAAGCCAATCTTGAAGGAATTCCTTTAGCTATTTCTAAGATGAAGAAAAAGCTATTCATAGACTGAATTTTTTTGTTCAAGAGAAAAAAACTTGTCACCTTAGTCTTAGTATTAATATTTAACATACATGAATTTGTACTCATTTTTAAAGTTACTACACTGTATTATTTTTGAAGGACCTTTAATAATTAAATTATATAAAACCCTGTAAGGTAATTTTTCTACACTCACAAAACTGTATTAAGAGGCTTTTTAAAAGACTGTAGGGATCCTGTCTACTCTCATTATGATGAAAAAATACTTTATGTCAAGTAAAATATTTTAAAAATACAGCAGCACTACATTAGAAACAAAGTTATTTTTCAGACAAGAGTATATTACCAAAGAAAAACACCTGTGAAGGAACACAACGGAAGTACAAGATTAAGTCTATAGCAGGTTTATAGTTTACAAAATGAACCTGAAGTATCTCTAGCAAGAAAATAAAAAGATTAATTTTCTTTTGGACTTCTGAAAATCATCTACATTTCTTCTGAAAAAAAGGAAGTCTCCTGAGACACCGTAACCACTACTTAGATTACACCCTTATTTGGCACTCTTTGTGAGGTAATACAATACTTAATAAAAAAACTCCTCCTCCCCATATGTTTCTTTTTTCCCTCATTCTTTCCCAATCTGTTATGTTCGTGAATGAGGAGTGTTTAACCATCAAGTTCTTTATCTATAAAGAATGACTTGGATGACAGCTGCTTAAAAAATGTTTTAAACAAGAGGTTTTAGTAGCTGTATATTTTACTGTGAGGTCAAATGAGCAGACTAAAATTTCCCTATCAGCTTTTACCCAAAAGTCTACTTTGATACACATAAGTCACTTATAGGAAAATGGATTTACCTTGAGGTAATAATGTTAAATGAAATAAATCAAGCAAACAAACTTAACTATTACATAGTTTCTCTTGTATAAAAATATAAATACACTATCGTACAAATATAAATACAGTAAAGAACAAAATAAAAGATGACAGGAAACAGATGTCTTTTGCAAATGAGAAGGATATCAAGAGACAGGAGGGAAGAAAAGGGGAAAGTAATATAAAAACATTAAAATATTATGTACATGTACCAACTCCCCACAATGAACTATTACTATATACTGTAAATATATAATATAAGCATTTAAAAAAATTTTAAAAGTGCAAGCATCTTTTGCTCAGTGTATGCACACAGATAGGTGCTTAGGCCAGAGGCTGCAGGAGCAGGGCTGCTTGGGTTGGAATCCCAGTTGCTCCTCTTCATGGCTGTTTCATGTGCAAAAAGAGTGTTATGTAGTTTACTCATCTGTAAAGTAAGGAGAGTGACAGTATCTCCCTCATCTGTTTTATTGTAAGAACTTAATAATCACATATGTTAGGTAATAAAGACAGCAGCTGGTTTATAGTAAATATTCAAAATATGTGAACAGTTTTATTGTAATACAGCTCTATGAACATTTATTGGAAATGTTTTATTAAGAAAATGAAATAGAAAATGCCAGTGCTTATTAAGTCATTAATATTTGATTAAAAACTCACCATTCAGTTGCAGATTTCCAAACCATTGCTGTACCATTTCAGTCTGAGGTATTTGGTCAGAAAATGGAGTTTTTCCTGGACAGAGGTGATTGGAGCTAACAGGGGAAAAAGAATTCTCGTAAACTAAAAAAATATTTCTCAGGCAACTTTCTTTCTTGCTGAGGCTGGAGATCAAACATAGGGCCTCACACTTATTAAATGCATATTCTACCAAAGTTAGATCTCCAGCCCCACCGCAACATTTTATAATAAAAATATTAGAAAAAGGAGCTGAATACCTGATTACTATTTTACCATAACTATCAAAAACAGTATCTGCATAGTTCAATTATCTCTAAACAGTTTAATATGCCAAAATACCAGAAAACACCCAAATGTTCTTATATGGCTACTACTGCCCTATTCAAACATAAAAAAATCATAAATAGATCAGAAAACTTTAGTTACTAGAAACAGTAGTTTTCATGATAGAAGGTCAGTACTATGATTATTCATCACTTAAGCTCAACTTCTTTATAAGTACAGTTAGTAACAGGGTACTTTAGGGTTCAGATTTAGGGTTAGACCTGCTCCATATAAAAAAAATGAAACCTAAGTTATCAAGAATTGCTCATGTTATACTTATACTTGAAAAATGATCTTAATCATAAAAATTATTACTCTGCTTTTCTTCCTATAAGAAAAATGAACGAAAAGTGCCTCAGAAACATCTGATAGTGTTTTAGGACTATTTGTCTTAAAAAAATCCCCTTATTAAAAAAAAAAAAAATCCCCTTATTTAGGTGATGCTTCATATTTGTTAGTATAATGTTTACGGAAATGCAAACACTTTTGAAAGAATTATCTTACAGTGCTCGATGATGATCCAGTCTTTCACATGATCCAGAACCATTGGATGTTTTCTCTTTAAAGAAGTGGAAAATATTGTCTTTATCTTCATTTTCTTCCACTCCTGATCTTTTGGACCTTGACAGCATTTCTGCTGAGTGACATCGGTCCATCATACATGGTTTTGTTCGAGACTGACTATTAGAACTGCTTGATCTATCAGAGGAATGGGCTCGCCGAAGATATCG